TGGAGACAGAATTCAGGATGGGACAATAGAGTTGAAGGACTTGTAAGGTGGAGTCTAGTATGAGATGAAAGGTAGAAAGGGATGAAACGAAAGGTAGGAAGGGATGAGAGGAACAGAATGGTGGAGGAGATGAGAGGAATGGTAGAGAAGATGATAGGAATGACGGAGGGATAACAGTTGTATGGAAGGTTTTGTAAGGCCGAGAAGGAGAGATGAGTGTAAGTGGGAGAGAGGAACTGACATCAGATTAGCTTTTGAATAAAGGAGTGACAAGATTTTCTATTGAAAACTTTTTTAAGGTCAGAATTTCTGAAGGGAAATAATATCGTAAGGGGAACATTTGGTGATCTATCTATCCTCCTGTGTCAACAAAATAACTAGCTTGAATTTCATTTAATTTTGATGAACATGATTATTTGACTACAATAATTATACAACGAATAAGGCAAGGTGTGAAGTTGAACCTAATCTGTTTATAATTTGTTAGTATACTGTGATCTTATTGGTCGAGGGTTGCCAAACAATTTAAATCACTCTAGAACTTCTTTTAATTTAATGGTTTGGTATGAATTGATTGTTGGCAAAGGGAGACAATTCCTGTAAAAGTAAAAAGACTTTAAAAAGGCTATAACTAAATATATACGAAGTAAACAAGTTTTCTCCTTCTGCCACATCTCAAAAATGATTCAGTTTTACTGAGAAATATTGAAGTGATATCGTTTCTTCTTGTTACATTTTGATATTTTCATACAATATGATACAAAAATGATTCAAAAGTATTCAAAGTGTCTGCCCCAATAGTAATATAGGATTTGTATGGATGGAAGAGGATGAATAGTGATGTCAGGATTTGAATGGGAGCAGGTAAAGTGTAGGGGCAACAATGGGACGATGCAGGGGTAAGGAACAGGATGGTGGATGAAGGCAGCTGACAAACTTGTAATATATTGTGTAAATAGGGGAGGAGGAGGAGGAGGAGGAGTCTATGGCGACAGTCAGCTCTTCAGAAGGCAGCTCTCAAACAAACTTAAACATATGCAGACTTAAGTAGATTTTTAAAAAAATAGCTTGCTATGTTTCTTTATTATATTAGCTTAGAACATAACCACACTTGGTGTTAAATGGCTTGCTATGTTACTTGGTGGTATACTAGTGTGTGTTTGAATATTTTTTTAGAATCCTATCTACTGTGTTTGGAATTTCTTTAACATGTTTATTACATTGAATAACTAGTTTTGTTTAAATAAATAAAATATGATGAAAAGAATTATTGCTGTTGTGTTTTTTGTAACCCTTGTGTAAAACTACAACAAAAATCCCAAGCTTAACTTTGTGGAGAAGTGACACAGATGTCCCTGACTTGGCAAAGGATATAGGCAGATCTGTCCCTTATAAAAACAGTAAATTGGTGGTCAAAAGATACATCACCCAGCTCATAGTAACTGATAGGTGATACTGACCCTAGGAATTTTGAATAACCTAGGTCTGTCTCCATCCAGCTGTGTACCAACCCCACGAGTCCATAGACATATTTGTTTAGTCTGCGGTTTTTGAATCATTGAACATTGCAATGCTTTGGCATATGACCCCTAACCTTGCTATGAGGTTGACCTGTATGAAGTACGTTCAGCGGCTAAGCCATTGTCAAGACAAGCGATGCAGTTATGTCCCTTTTATCCGTTGTCGCGACCTTTACCTTGTGGGTGCTGATAATTTCTCCTCTATCGGGATCAACTAGATAATGTTGTTTGTTTTAGTAGCGACGGGTCTGACAAGCATTGACCCCTTGCTGTGACCTTTACCTTGAGTCAGCCGATTATTTCTATAATACTCCGATATTGGGACTAATCAAAATAATGTTCGGTGCTAGGGAAGGGTAAGACAGGCGTCGTTAAGATTTGGTCTTTGACGGTTTTATGTGACCTTGACCTTGGGGGTATAAGTTCAGCGGTATAGTAGTAACGTACCTGACAAGCTTTGTAATTATTTTACCTTTCACCTCTCGATGTGACGTTGATCTTAAAGATACACTGACTTGTCATGCATCAATTGAGCTTCAGTATTTTAAAAAGTGTAATTAATTTGAAAATTAAACAACTCTAATTATTACATGTAATACATAACCATCTTATATGCGTAAAGCTTTTTTTAAATAACTCTTTTGGAAACCTGAACCTGAATTTCTGACTTAGCTGGTGCTGTTAGGTCATCTTGTATCATACATTAATTGTGGCTTTGACTTAAAAGTGATACGTAGTAATCAGTATGATTAATATCAATATTTTAGAATATGTGTTTCAATCTAACCAAGCTTTTAGACTGAGACTTGTGTAGTACCTTGCTTCTCGATACTGTATCACCTTTTTGAAATCGGAATGTCATGTTTCTCATAATCAGCCTTGCAATTAGCTTTTTTCATGTCAAAAGTAAATTTTCTGATTTGATTTTCACTAAATATTTGCAATATTCCTTTCTTCTACGAAGTACAGTTGTAGCCGCCGGTACCAAATCAAAGAGAAACGATATCCGCAGCGAGATCCATGTACGACCCGAGTTACAAGACAATGACACTGAGCTATGGTACCCGTAGTTAGCTCCATGTACGACCCGAGTTATACTACAAGGCAGTGAGCTATGGTATCCGTAGTTAGCTCCATGTACGACCCGAGTTATACAACAAGACACTGAGCTATGGTACCCGTAGTTAGCTTCATGTTCGACCCGAGTTATACTACAAGACAATGAGCTATGGTACCCGTAGTTAGCTTCATGTACGACCCGAGTTATAATACAAGACAGTGAGCTATGGTACCCGTAGTTAGCTTCATGTACGACTCCAGTTATACTAAAAGACACTGAGCTATGGTACCCGTAGTTAGCTCCATGTACGACCCGAGTTATAATACAAGACAGTGAGCTATGGTACCCGTAGTTAGCTTCATGTATGACTCCAGTTATACTAAAAGACACTGAGCTATGGTACCCGTAGTTAGCTTCATGTACGACCCGAGTTATACTACAAGACAGTGAGCTATGGTACCCGTAGTTAGCTTCATGTACGACTCCAGTTATACTACAAGACACTGAGCTATGGTACCCGTAGTTAGCTCCATGTACGACTCGAGTTATACAACAAGACATTGAGCTATGGTACCCGTAGTTAGCTCCATGTACGACCCGAGTTATACTACAAGGCAGTGAGCTATGGTACCCGTAGTTAGCTCCATGAACGACTTAAACATGAAATGAGAAACGTCTATTTTATAAACACATATATATGTTTAGCAATGTCATCCCCGTCCTGTCCTTTCCCGTCCCGTCATGTCCTTTCCCGTCCCGTCCCGTCATGCCCTTTCCCGTCCCGTCCCCTCCTGTCCTTTCCCGTCCCGTCCCGTCATGTCCTTTCCCGTCCCGTCCCGTTAATTCGGTGACATCACTCCAGCGACTTCATCAAAGGATTTTAACGAACTTTATACAAATGTGGAGAATGAGAAAGAATTCGTTTAGAGTTTCTTAGTTAAAACCTTGGTCATCGTTACACTTTATGGAAAATTATCAAAAATGATTCTAACATTTATATATTCTTTTCTAAAAGTTTGAAAAATATAGATTTTTAGATAAAATTTGGGCTGTACAAAAAGGACATGTAGTTCAGCTGTTGTACAATATTACATGTAGTTCGTCTGTAACTTAAGTTGTACAACAGTCAAAAAGGCAGTGAACAGCTCAACAGCAACTCCAGTTGTACATACGTCGTACAGCTAGCTACACGTACAACGTAACTGGTCCTAAAACAAACTGACTACCTGAAATGTTACTGGAGTAAACCTTAATGCATGACAGCCTACTGTTATCAAAAATGAACGAGAAATGCAGCGTCGTATCATCGTTTTGCTGCTGTCATGGTTAAATTATGGCTAGATGTCCTACGCTAGCAGCTGTAATACGGGTAAGGACGCGGAGTGATCTGTTCGTGGAGGATACGTTGTACAGGTAACGTTTACAGAGGATATGTATAGTTAAAGATGTTTTGTGGCTTTTATTTTTGAGCAAATATTGTAAACTACAGTGTAAACGTTATGAAATAATGCGCAAAAAAATCAATTTGCACCGATGAAAATAGCATGGAAAAAAAAGAAACAAAGAAGAGAAAGAGAGAGAGGTCGACAACACCAGCTTTATAGCACTGATCACATCCCGTACCGTGCCTTGCTTCCTCCTTGCTATTCCGGTCGTCCTTGACTATTCATTTTTGATCAGTGTATTTAGTATATTGTAAATTGTTAACCATGTATCATGTGTCCGTCCGTATCAGCTGATTACATGGTTCGATTTTAATCTATTTACATTTGTGTTGAGTTTCAGACAAGCGCTGCGAGTTTATGTTGTGGTCGTACTCAGGATAATTAGTGTTTTAGTGTTTCGACTGTAGCGTTGTAATCGAGTCGACGTGTTCCTTCAATCGTCGCTGGTGTGAAGAAATAATCTAAATAGTTTCACTTGTGTATGGTGAATTGGAGTTGCGGCAGTTGAATGATAGCACATTTTTAAAGGATTGATATTGGTTTGTTAATGGTCCTTTAGGTTTGGCAAGTGTTTTCATTGCATAAAGAGCATACTTATGTAAGGAAGGAAAAGAGAGGGTCCTGTTAATGTTTCAAGACGAACTCCGGAATCTACAGAAGATATAAGAAGAGGTAAGATTGAGGAGAACGTCCAGTGATTTACCACGAAGCTTGATATATTATCCTGTGTAATGTTCAGAAACGTTTTTCCTGCATGAAAACGCATTCATTTTTATATGGAAGTCTTCACCAAATACTTAATAGAAATAAAGAAACAAATGCCAATTTGGTGACCAGAAGACAGATTTGGTGATGTACATCGAGTGTATAGTAGAAATAAGTGGCTTCTCAGGGCAGTTTGGGTTACTATATAGTGACTAGTTATAAAACCGTGCAACATATAGAGATTGGAGGTAGTGGTAAAGGCGATGTCATTTTTTACTTTACAATTTTGAAATCTTGTAACTGACTTCAGTTAACTAGCGTGTGGACTGTTGGGTTTACTGCATACTCTCTTTGGGTTTTTCTTCTGAAAACATTTGTGGATTGGTTACTAAGACAGTCAGTCCGTGCTTTTGCCATTATGGAGGAGTCTGCCAGGACGTTCCTGCCGAACAGCGATCCAACTGTGGAAACTCCATTGGAAATCAGGTACGTCAATTGTATCATGTTGTTACTTAAATGTTCGTACAGTAGAAATTCTGAAAAAAAGGAAGGAGAATAAAACGTAAGCATTGCCGCGCGGAATAATTAAGACATCGATCCAAAAGAGAATGAAAATCTATTTCTCATAAGTTTGATTTTGTCTTTGCTCTTATTATATCGATTAGTTTGCCCCCTTCACCTACTAGGCTGTGTACGGTGTTACCTGGAAATCAAGGAACACGTCACGTGAGCCTGGGCTGTGTATGGTGTTACCTGTAGAGCAAGGAACACGTCACACGAGATTGGGCCGTGTATGGTGTTACCTGGAGAGCAAGGAACACGTCACGTGAGACTGGGCAGTGTATAGAATTACCTGGAAATCAAGGAACACGTCAGATGCGACTGTGCTGTGTATGGTGTTACCTAGAAATCAAGGAACATGTCACGTGAGAATGGGCTGTGAATAGTGTTACCTGGAGAGTAAGGAACACATCTCCTGAGACTGGGTGGTGTATGGTGTTACCTGGAAATCAAGGAACACGTCACGTGATACTCGGCTGTGTATGGTGTTACCTGGAGATTAAGGAACACATAACGTGAGACTATGCTGTATATGGTGTTAGCTGCAGAACAAGAAACACGTCACGTGATACTCGGCTGTGTATGGTGTTACCTGGAGAGTAAGGAACACGTCAGGTGTGATTGGGCTTTTATTGTGTTACCTTAAGAGTTAGGAACACGTCACCTGATACTGGCTGATGTATGGTGTTACCTGGAAATCAAGGAACATATCACGTGGGAATGGGCTGTGAACAGTGTTACATTGAGATTAAGGAACACATAACGTGAGACTATGTTGTATATGGTGTTAGCTGCAGAACAAGAAACACGTCACGTGATACTCGACTGTGTGTGGAGTTACATGGAGAGTAAGGAACACGTCATGTGAGATTGGGCTGTGTATGATGTTACCTAGAAATCAAACAACACGTCACGTGAGACTTGGCTGTGTATAGTGTTACCTGAAGAGTAAGGAACACGTCACGTGATACTCGGCTGTGTATAGTGTTACCTGAAGGGTAAGGAACACGTCACGTGATACTCGGCTGTGTATGGTGTTACCTGGGGAGTAAGGAACACGTCATGTGAGACTGGGCTGTGTATGGTAATACCTGGAGAGCAAGGAACACGTCACGTGAGACTGGGCTGTGTATGGTGTTACCTGGAGAGTAAGGAACACGTCAGGTGAGATTGGGCTTTTTATTGTGTTACCTTAAGAGTTAGGAACACGTCACCTGATACTGGCTGATGTATGGTGTTACCTGGAAATCAAGGAACATATCACGTGGGAATGGGCTGTGAACAGTGTTACATTGAGTGTAAGGAACACATAACGTGAGACTATGCTGTATATGGTGTTAGCTGCAGAACAAGAAACACGTCACGTGATACTCGACTGTGTGTGGAGTTACATGGAGAGTAAGGAACACGTCCTGTGAAATTGGGCTGTGTATGATGTTACCTAGAAATCAAACAACACGTCACGTGAGACTTGGCTGTGTATAGTGTTACCTGAAGAGGAAGGAACACGTCACGTGATACTCGGCTGTGTATGGTGATACCTGGAGAGCAAGGAACACGTCACATGAGACTGGGCTGTGTATGGTGTTACCTGGAGAACAAGGAACACGTCACATGAGACTGGGCTGTGTATGGTGTTACCTGGAGAGCAAGGAACACGTCACGTGAGACTGGGCTGTGTATGGTGTTACCTGGAGTGCAAGGAACACGTCACATGAGAATCGACTGTGAATGATGTTACCTGGAGAGTAAGGAACACGTCAGGTACGATTTGACTCTGTATGGTGTTACCTTGAGAGTTAGGAACACGTCACGTGAGACTGGGTGGTGTATGATGTTACCTAGAAATCAAGGAACACGTCACGTGATACTCGGCTGTGTATGGTGATACCTGGAGAGCAAGGAACACGTCACATGAGACTGGGCTGTGTATGGTGTTACCTGGAGAGCAAGGAACACGTCACACGAGATTGGGCTGTGTATGGTGTTACCTGAAAATCAAGGAACACGTTATGTGAGTATCGGCTGTGTATGATGTTACCTTGAGAGTAAGAAACACGTCAGGTAAGATTGGACTCTGTATGGTGTTACCTTGAGAGCTAGGAACACGTCACGTGAGACTGGGTGGTGTATGATGTTACCTTGAAATCAAGGAATACGTCACGTGAGACTGGGCGGTATATGATGCTAACTGGAAATCAAAGGACACGCCACGTGAGACTAGGCTGTGTATGGTGTTACCTGAAGAGCAAGGAACACGTCACAGGAGACTGGGCTGTGTTTGATGTCACCCGGAGAACAAGGAACACGTCACGTGAGACTGTGCTGGACATGGTGTTACCTGGCGAGCAAAGAACACGTCATGTGATACTCGGCTGTGTATGGTGTTACCTGGAGAACAAGGAACACGTCACGCGAGACTGGGCTGTGTATGGTGTTACATGGAGAACAAGGAACACGTCACTTGAGACTGTGCTGTGTATGGTGTTACCTGGAGAACAAGGAACACGTCACATGAGACTGTACCGGGTATGGTGTTACCTGGAGAGCAAGGAACACGTCACGTGAGACTGTGCTGTGTATGGTGTTACCTGGAGAGCAAGGAACACGTCACGTGAGACTGTACCGGGTATGGTGTTACCTGAAGAGCAAGGAACACGTCACGTGAGACTGTGCTGTGTATGGTGTTACCTGGAGAGCAAGGAACACGTCACGTGAGACTGTGCTGTGTATGGTGTTACCTGGAGAGCAAGGAACACGTCATGTGAGACTGTGCTGGACATGGTGCTACCTGGCGAGCAAGGTACACGTCACGTGATACTCGGCTGTGTATGGTGTTACCTGGAGAACAAGGAACACGTGACGTGAAACTGTGCTGTGTATGGTGTTTCCTGGAGAACAAGGAACACGTCATGTGAGACTGTGCTGTTTATGTTACCCGGAGAGCAAGGAACACGTCACGCGAGACTGGGCTGTGTATGGTGTTACCTGGAGAACAAGGAACACGTCACATGAGACTGTACCGGGTATGGTGTTACCTGGAGAGCAAGGAACACGTCACGTGAGAATGTGCTGTGTATGGTGTTACCTGGAGAACAAGAAACACGTCACATGAGGCTGGGCTGTGTATGGTGTTACCTGGAGAGCAAGGAACACGTCACATGAGAATCGGCTGTGTATGATGTTACCTGGAGAGTAAGGAACACGTCAGTTAAGATTGGACTCTGTATGGTGTTACCTTGAGAGTTAGGAACACGTCACGTGAGACTGGGTGGTGTATGATGTTACCTTGAAATCAAGGAATACGTCACGTGAGATTGGGCTGTGTATGTTGATACCTGGAGAGCAAGGAACACGTCACATGATATTGGGCTGTGTATGGTGTTACTTGGAGAGCAAGGAACACGTCACGTGAGAATGGGCTGTGTATGGTAATGATGTGTATGGTGGTACCTGGAGAGTAAGGGACACGTCACGTGAGACTGGGAGGTATATGGTGTTAACTGGAAATCAAGGTCACGCCACGTGTATGGTGTTTCCTTGAGAGCAAGGAACACGTCACATGAGAGTGGGCTGTGGATAGTGTTACCTGGGGCCTGTTCGTTTATTAATGTAACACTTTCGGGTATATGCAGGCCTTGCAAGGCTTTGTCAAGGCTTGCTTGAAAGCATCATCAGATTACTAGGTCCGACCTTATTTAATAAACGAAGGTGTAAGGTGTTGCCCGAGGGCTACAGCTGGTTGGCGGAACAAGGTATCATGTATATTAACACAACCGGTGAGCGAAACGAAGTCACATGAATATTTTAGAAATGTCATATTGGTTTTTCTTCGGTCCAATAGTTACTGTGATCGTCGCGGAGGATACGCTGTACATGTGACGTGTATACAGGTAATAAGTATGGCGAACAGGTTGTGTGTGTGTTGGGGAAGACTGGGGCCTGCCATGGCTATTGTTACTGTATTATCGTATATGTATAGTAATGGAAGAATAACTTGTAGAACGTCCGGGGTTACATTACGTAACTCTATCGATCCATGTTGAGTTCAGCTTACAACAGGTATAGTAAACAGTTTTACGATAACCTTGCCCCCGAGCTCACACCTTAAATGTGAGGGCACTTCGGAATCTCCCTAATTCTGTTCCGCGCGCCTTTTAAATCTGTCGATTTCGTTTAACGCTTTCTTTTTATTTTCTTATCAGCGATCAGCAGATCCTCCGGACTAGCGATAAAACTGTAGAAATGATGGGTCCTATGGAAATCAGGTAGGTAAATGGACCACGTAATTATACAACAGGAAGCTTAGGATGTGTTCTTTATAGTAGTGTCAACTACAAAGCGTCGCCTAACTGTATGTAATAGATGCTGTCCAATTATACTTAAATACTCACAGGAAGGTAGTGATGGGTGTATCGTTCAATTTGGGCATAAAAACAGTCTTAAATCAGCTAGCCAGTTTTAAAGCAACATTGGTCATGTATGCAAATTATAGTGACATGTGATTTATCTTAGTTATAGTTATAAGACAATGTTGATGTTGAGATAAACTAAATAGTAGCTATAATATTATTAAAACTGCAACAAAAACCAAGATCACCTGTTGTATTGATTACTTAATATATTTCCAACCAATAATTACGATACAACTTTTTTGTCAATTGATCTATTCTAGATCCCGCCATGTTACTAAAGTGGTTCACTTGACCATGGTTATGCAATGGTTTAACGTTTTTGTGCCCATTTCGTTAAATGTATGATAGTTTTCGAAAATAGTAATTGTTCCCAATTCGATGATGACGTTCATTAACCTCGGTAGACCAACATATCACCCCCCCCCCCCCCCCCCGGTCAATAATATATGTGGCTCTGGTAAAAGGGAAATGTGTGGTCTAGAACGTGTTTTAAGCATTGATAATGACATTGGTTTGTCTCCATGTGAGCTTTTGGGACATCTGTAAGTTCATGCGATTCGCCCCAAAACCGTAACGCCTCAAGCTGTCACGACACAATTTTGATTCATATCGCCCCAAAAAACCTTTACGACCCAAACATATCCCCCCAACTATTCAGTTCGCTCCAAAAGCAATATCGTCCCAAATCAATAGATTTCGGGAGTGACTTGTAATCCTCTATGTTACCTGTGCATTTCCTAATGTTGATCCGTCGTTGTATTGCGAGTCAGGTTACCAAAGATTTCAAGCGTCTCTGATGTTACCGTTATATTCAATAAGTTGATTTGAAACAAAATTGTTGCGTGTTTCCAATTTTCAATTTTAAATGTTATTTATTAATCGGCATAATTAAAAGAATGTTCGTTTGAGGTTATGCCTCCACAAGATGTTAGTTACATTTACAAAAGTGTTTCCTTTTAGCTTTTGTGTGGTACATTCGGTTACCATACTGATTGGTATATCAAGCTGACGAACGACACTAATGGTTTGGTTTGGTTTGGTTTTATATTGTTTAACGTCCTATTAACAGCTAAGGTCATTTAAGGACGTGCATCCATCGTTTATTATATAATGTATAACATATCTATGTACTTATGTGCCGCAAGGCCTAAAGATAACAAAATGAATTGAATTGAAAATGTGTTGTGTATGTGTGCGTGTGTGTATGTGTGCAGGAGACAGGGTGCTTTGCCTCATTGTGATATAGCGCGACTGATTTTGAAGGTTTTACGTCCGTTATTACGGCCTTGCGGCCTTTCAGCAGACGAGAAATTATAACAGGCCGCAAGGCCGTCAAAGCGGACGTCAAACCTTCAAAATCAATAGATTGATTGATAGATTGATAGGTTTTACGTCCGCTTCACTACCGAGTAGTTCGGTTATCCAGCAGACGATCAATAGCGCGGATTGAACGCTTTACAGTGCTCTGACGAAGCAATAGGCCTATATATAAAAAATAATCTCTCGTCTTCAGAAAGCTACGTTATCGCAGCTGGTATGCGAATTACAGACGATTCGCCCTGAAACCGTCATGCTGCAAACCATTTCGCCCGTATTTTGTTCAAATCGCCCAAGTTTATAGTTCATTTCGCCCCAAGTTTGACAAGCATATCGCCCCAAAATTTATTTTAAGCTCCAAAAGCTATACCGAGGAAGTATCCCCAAAAATGTGTCACTAATTTCATGTCCAAATGATATACGGATTGACTCAAATGGCACATATATACACATATTTTATTGCATTTTCTATTTCTCATTCCTAATTGTCATTTGCATTTGTATTCCCGTGTTTGATGTAATACAAATGAAGATGTCTACGGCACGTGCGTATTTTCTAACTGATATCTTTCGTTGTTTATCTGATGACAAGATGTACACAAACCTCTCGTCTTTTCAGTAATTTACACTTTCCTTACATCTGGTAGAAACATGACTTTCTTGTTTATTTTAATACCAACAGCCATCTGTGTATGTTGACTCAATTAACTAATCAATAATATTTTATAAGGAGTCAGACAAATGTTTATATATACATATCCATACCGATATATGATCATCAACAAGACACTAAATAGCCATTAACATCACGGGTTTGGATAGATTCTAATCTGATTCCGTGTTATTAACATATAATTATAACATTTAGATCTACATAAATATTTTATTATTCAAAAGAACATCAGTATGATAATTGCCTCCTTCTATTAAACATAGAATATGCTGATTCGGCTAAAATAGGCTGCTCAAGCTCAGGTTCATTCATTTGTCAGACGACTTGATAGTTAAACAGTTTTTATTCTGCTATGACTATACACCCGGACGTCGCATATAAAATGTAATTCATTTTCTAAATAGAATTAAAACAACAGGAACAAGTCCGGTCTTCTAATGACCCAGTGTTCTTGTTCGTGGCATCGTGATACCCGGTATGTGTCTATGTCCTTAATTTATTTATTCCGTTTTCTTTCTACTTCTAACTACCTTTTATTTCTTAACGCCTTGCTTGGCAACACCTCACTTTTGGCTTTTTGTTAAACGTTCGCCCAGGTGAGGAAGGCCATGGGTTCTGTCCCCAGGCCGGGACATACCAAAGTCCTTTAAAATGGTAGTTGACGTTCAGCATTTAGGGAATGGCAACAACTGGTTCACCCATTGTCACTACAATGTGACCGGATGGAATGCAGTGCTGGGCTTCGGCATTTCAGTGAGGTACTGAGGAGGCCGGGTATTAATATTAGTACTATTCGCATACATGCGCACACCGGCGCGTCGATTTACCCAACACAACCCAATACTATCCAATACTACCCAATACAACCCAATACTACCCTTTACAACCCAATACTACCCAATACAACCCAATACTATTCAATACAACCCAATACTACCCAATACAACTCAATACTACCCAATACTACCCAATACAACCCAATACTTTCCAATACAACCCAAAACTACCATATACAAGTATCGATTTACCCAATACTATCCAATACAACCCAATACTACCCTTTACAACCCAATACCACCAAATACAACCCAATACTATCCAATACAACCCAATACTACCCAATACAACCCAATACTACCCAATACTTTCCAATTCAACCCAAAATTACCATATACAAGTATCGATTTACCCAATACTATCCAATACAAGTATCGATTTACCCAATTCTATCCAATACAACCCAATACTACCCAATACAAGTATCGATTTACCAAATACAACCCAATGCAAGTATCGATTTACCCAATACAAGTATCGATTTACCCAATACTATCCAATACAAGTATCGATTTACCCAATACTATCCAATAACCCCCAATTCAAGTAACGATGTTGTGCTGACCCGGGTATTTCTTAACCTAGCCATATTTTTTAATGTCTTAACAACAATAGAGTAATGGAAAGAGTAATGGAATATTTCAGTAGTGGTAGTTAGAAGGACAATAACGGAAAATAATTATACTCACTCACTCTCATATATTACTGTTTGTACTTGTTATATGTTGTATTGTTAGAACTTACATATATAAAGACATAACGTAAAAGATAATAGTTAAAAAAAAATAGGATCATTAACTTTCTGGGGTTTTTCTGGAATAATGTATTGGAATATAGTAGATCTCGAGCAGCAACTTATTACGCATCATAGTTATACCGGTATGTTGAAAACTTATGAATAAATATATGTGTGTAAATATTTGTATTCAAGTTTCGTTGTTCTTGGTTTTTTTTAAATTGAGTTACAATTTTGATGAAATTTTACCTTTTATTATTTTTATATTAATTGAGTGTTCCATGTTTTTAAAGTGTGTGCTTATTTTGGTCTCAATATTGAATGACTATTAATTCTATTAAGAACTACAAATACTTTAAAAACGAGGGTTATTTATCAACAAGATGATTATTTTAAGCTCAACATTGGCTATTATCTGACTGTGTAATTTTATTTTTTCCTGACATGAAACAATCCGAACATGTTTATGTTATTATCAGTGGTATCTTTTGTAAAGCCGATGGAAATCATAAAGTTACACATCTGAATACACCTGTTTCATTTAGACAAAAGTGTAGTGATTCCGTCCACATGTGATGGGAACGACTAATTATTGACATGTATTTAGGTACGGCTTTGGCCACGTGTCATCTGAACTAGTTTCACACCTGACCATTGATTGACAGGCGATGCTTGCTACAAATAACAATAACTTCTGTATTTCTTTGATTTCTTTCCGATTTATAGTAAATCGTTCCCGCGATAATTTACTTCATAAATAATGAAAATATTTTTTCTATATTTTATCCAATTTGATAACGATACATTATTGTATATCCTTCCCGCGATAATTAACTTCGTTAATAATGAAATTCTTTTTTCTATATTTTATCAGGGACGTATATATACTGTCCCTGATTTTATCCAATATAACAACGATAAATTATTGTATATCATTCCCGTGATTTTAATTTACTTAATAAATAATGAAAATATATTTACAAGATGCCCAATTAAGATCTACATATAATATTTAACTTTAATTGTATACGTATTTGGTATATCAGTTTTACTGGGTTGTATTGGGTTGTATTGTGTTGTATTGGGTAGTATTGGGTAAATCGATGGACCCGCTCACACTGCATTGGTATCATCAGTTGTGTTGTCTCTTGTAATATTTTGTTACATTTATTTGACCAGTTGATAATTATGTTATCACAACATCTATTTCAAATCTCTGCCCAATCTTACCATTACGAATCTGCAAATCTTCCAGTACTGAAGCGGTTATATTAATCAGTCTTAAAAAAGTTTTTTGTTTGTTTTATAAGACGTGTTATTGTTGCTTCATAATTAATTGTTAATACTGTATCAATTATATGATAAAATTTAGACAGTAAAAATCTATAAAAAATTACGGGGGATGCATCTTTAATGATGATCTTAAATAGTCACATGATATTTAAGGACAAAATGGCGCCGACGGGTGGGAGACAAGCTGTCTCTATTAACGAACGGAGTGCGATAACCTCTGATTTCTCTTCCTCGTCAAGCACACCGTCGGAGTACAGGACTTATAAGCGGCGATGGTTCCTCCTGATCGTTGTCAGCATCCTGAATTTGTCAAATGCCATGGTAAGACAAAACATTGTTCCGTTATATTACCGGCCAAAACTGTAAATCGTACGATACGGTCACAGGGACCTGATAATTCATAACAGCTATATTTGGAACTAAATTAAGGTGTTCAGAGTTATTTTACGTGTTTTAGGGTTTTAGATCGACTTTCGGTAAAAAAAAAAAAGATCATTGGGGTGTCATTTTTACTGAAAGTCGATCTAAACCCCTAAAACATGTAGAATTACTCTGAACACCGTAGTTTTAGGTACAAATATAGCTGCAACAAATTCTCAGGTCCCTGTGGATCCGATAAGAGTCTTTGCCTAGTCCTATGACTCACGGCACGGAATATTAATGAACTCATAAAACAGAAAATCAAATGTCAATGCTTGTGAAACCGGAAAACAAGTAAAAATATAACTGTTTGGAAGGTAAACAGATACAGGCTGGTACACAGTGGCACGCAGCTACTATTAATAGTGATCTTGTTTTAGGCTTTCAGTCGCTGGGTACGTTATAACCTAGTATTAGGTTATAACGTACCCAGCGACTGAAAGCCTTAAATAAGATCAATATTAATAGTAGTTGCATGCCCCTGTGCTGGTAGTAGTAGCCCAGTAGTAGTGTAACAGGAGCGGAAAAATGCTCAGCCGTTACATTCCTCCCTACTTTTTCCAAGTCTTCGCCCCTGAAGATTATTTTTGTTACAACCCAGGTTCAGATATCGCCCACAGATACCTGTGTATTCACCTAGTACTTGAAACATTAGTGTTGGCACGGAATTAGATTAGTTAGATTTGTTATCTAAGTCCTTGGTGTTGGTCATTAACTGTAACAGAAAAGGAAAACTGCACAGCCAGACTGGGGTTTGAACCTGAGACCCTCAAAACTCTAGACGTATGCTCTACCAGGTGAGCTTCCCGATAGACGATGACTGACCCATTCCAGTTCTGTTACAGTAGTTAGGCCTACTGTAATTGTTAGTGCTGATTAAGGTCCAGTGCTATACAGGTAGCCTCTGAAGTTAACGGTATATGGAGTAGCTTTCATTATTAGGGCAAGGTATTCTGAGGAAATAGTGATCTTCAAAAGTATTCGGGAATATCTGCCTAGCTCCTTTTACAACAAATTTCAGTAGGCGAGTCAAAAATAAGTAAGCTACTAAATAAAATATATAAAATGAGATAGTTATTTCAGACTAGGTACTCAGTACAGTAGGGTTCAACAGGATACAGCACATCCCAGACACATATTCCCTAACTTAATTAAAGAATTTTTTTAAGCTTAAGTGTATCTTATGGAATAATTAGATCATCAGAGAAATTTTCCTTTAGTTTAACAATTATTTTTGTGAAACTTGGGCACAGCCTATTCTTTCCAAGAACTAGCCCGAGTTTCCTCTGGCCCTGACACCAGACTTAGACATTTTGACAGATAGATGTCCTAGCTATACCAGACATCTATCTGTCAAAATGTCTAAGTATTGTGTCACGGCCAGAGGAAACTTGGGCTTTCCCAGAACCTGCAAGTTAGTGGATCAGTGAAAGAACAGACTTTTTAGTCTTCTGTCAATCTATTGAATAATAAAACATTTTAACTTTTTAACTTTTGCCAGGAAATTTATGTCGTAGCTTTAAAGAAATATGAAAATACATTTGTTTTTACAACAATGAAAAATTAATGTCAATTTTTATTTGATTGGCTTTTTCATAAACAGCTTATATTTATTGTTTACATTTGAATGATCTTCGGTAACATTTGGTTTACAGGTATGGATAACATTTTCTCCGATTGCTGACCTCACTACTGTTTACTATAATATAGATTCCTTCCAAGTGAATATACTATCCCTAGTATTTCTCATTGCCTCGATTCCTTTTGGACTGACAGCTTCATGGATCCTGGATACCTTTGGCCTGAGAGCTAGTGTGAGTGTATCTCAGAATGTGAACTGACAAATTGTCCAGACACAACTGTCTATCTATAGGTATCTGCATCGAAAAAAAAGGGAGACATACTATACACATATTAATATACTGATGTACAGTATATCCTGTGTAAAGGTAGACCTCCCCTTAATTTGAGGCAGATACCTTTGGTCTAGCCATCAGATTGAATCTTACGGGTACATGTATATAAAGTTTGCTAGACAGATGGACACATGTGTTACTTTCCAATGACAGAAAATTTTTTAATTTCCACAGTGTAAATGAATTTCTCTTATTATAGTTTCTTGATTTCTCTGTTATTTGAAAAAATGTATAAAATTTTTGACTCTGTAATAGCAAAAAAAATGAAGACAAATAATAAAATTGGATTGTCATTGACTGATAACTCATGTTTACAAAGGAAATTGCTCTGTAAATGGAACAGAAAACAATTATGGAATTTCTATTTTGTAATCCTGTACAAGGTATAAATATAATATGATGTGACAGCGAAAAGAAAATAGCTTAAAGCTAGAAACCTTACCAAACATGAAGGATAATCATATATATCAATTGTTTTACGCTTTCAGTTACTGACAGCAGCATGGCTGAATGGTATCGGGTCGTTGCTTCGTAACTTCAGCACATTCGACTTTGTCCCAGGTGACTCAAAGTTCGCAGTGCTGTTGGTTGGTCAGATTTTAGCAGCTTGTGCTCAACCCTTTGTGATGTTTGCCCCTACCAAACTGGCGGCTATCTGGTTTCCCGAAAATCAGAGAGCAACAGCCAACATGTTGACATCCATGGGTAAGGCTTTCAATAGTCTAAACTAGGTTTGTAATGCTGTTACCATTTTACTTTCACTTTTGATTTACCTTCATGTGTTTGTCGCTGAAGTCAAACCTGAAGAAATATACCAGGTAAGTATGATATGTTAAATTAATATATGAATGATTTATCGGAGTCAGTTCTATAATTATGTATCTATAGATGCAAAATTCTTTTAGGTGTTGGTATTTATTGAAAGTGTAACAGTTTGGTATTAATTTTCTTGGTATATGAAACTTTAATTGTCTTGTAATATTGCAAAGCAGCCAAACACGTGAAGTTTTGCCACATGTATTGCCCTTTATTTCAGTCAATTTACTGTTGATCTACTATTCATCATCTATAATTTAGTCTGGTTATTCATAAACTGCCATCTTGAAATTGTGTTGATGTTATTACATATTGTATATATATAAGGAAAGGGCTTGTTACAAGTTCTTTATCTTGTGCACGATCACGTTGCAATCTCTAAGCAATAAAATATGTTTAAATCAAAATATGCTATTGATCATTTGACAGCGAACCCACTGGGAATCCTCGTCACAAATGCCTTACTGCCGGCCATTGTGAATGGTTGTAACAAAAAGGAAATACCAATTGCTGTAAGTATCTGTGTCTACGTGTTACACAGAGACAGAATTTCTCATTCAGCAATTAATGACCGTAATGTAATGTTATTGAAGAATTATAATTTCAGGTTTTTGTTTGTTAAATAAGTACCGTTAATCTATGTTACCCTGTACAATGTGGAAACCGTATAAACTAGGCTTTAACTGTGTACAGGCTGTTCCTGTAAAACATCCATCTTACCCTTTATAATGTAGAGACCTTATAAACTAGGCTCTTACTGTGTACAGGCTGTTCCCGTAAAACATCTATCTTACCCTGTACAATGTGGAGACCGTACAAACTAAGCTTTAACTGTGTACAGGCTGTTCCTGTAAAACATATATCTGACCCTGTATAATGTGGAGACCGTATAAACTAAGCTTTAACTGTGTACAGGCTGTTCCTGTAAAACATATATCTTACCCTTTATAATGTAGAGACCTTATAAACTAGGCTTTAACTGTGTACAGGCTGTTCCTGTAAAACATCTATGTTACCCTTTATAATGTGGAGACCATATAAACTAGGCTTTAACTGTGTACAGGCTGTTCCTGTAAAACATATATCTGACCCTGTATAATGTGGAGACCGTATAAACTAAGCTTTAACTGTGTACAGACTGTTCCGGTAAAACATATATCTGACCCTGTATAATGTGGAGACCGTATAAACTAGGCTCTAACTGTGTGCAGGCTATTCCTGTAAAACATCTATCTTACCCTTTATAATGTAGAGACCTTATAAACTAGGCTTTAACTGTGTACAGGCTGTTCCTGTAAAACATATATCTTACCCTTTATAATGTAGAGACCTTATAAACTAGGCTTTAACTGTGTACAGGCTGTTCCTGTAAAACATATATCTTACCCTTTATAATGTAGAGACCTTATAAACTAGGCTTTAACTGTGTACAGGCTGTTCCTGTAAAACATCTATGTTACCCTTTATAATGTGGAGACCATATAAACTAGGCTTTAACTGTGTACAGGCTGTTCCTGTAAAACATATATCTGACCCTGTATAATGTGGAGACCGTATAAACTAGGCTTTAACTGTGTGCAGGCTGTTCCTGTAAAACATCTATCTTTCCCTTTATAATGTAGAGACCTTATAAACTAGGCTTTAACTGTGTACAGGCTGTTCCTGTAAAACATATATCTTACCCTTTATAATGTAGAGACCTTATAAACTAGGCTTTAACTGTGTACAGGCTGTTCCTGTAAAACATCTATCTGACCCTGTATAATGTGGAGACCGTATAAACTAAGCTTTAACTGTGTAAAGGCTGTACCTGTAAAACATCTATCTTACCCTTTATACTGTAGAGACCGTATAAACTATGCTTTAGCTGTGTACAGGCTGTTCCTGTAAAACATCTATCTTACCATTTATAATGTAGAGACCTTATAAACTAGGCTCTCACTGTGTACAGGCTGTTCCCGTAAAACATCTATCTTACCCTGTACAATGTGGAGACCGTATAAACTAGGCTTTAACTGTGTACAGGCTGTTCCTGTAAAACATCTATCTTCCCCTTTATACTGTAGAGACCGTATAAACTATGCTTTAACTGTGTACAGGCTGTTCCTGTAAAACATCTATCTAACCCTTTATAATGTGGAGACCGTATAAACTAGGCTCTAACTGTGTACAGGCTGTTCCTGTAAAACATCTATCTGACCATGTATAATGTCGAGACCGTATAAACTAGGCTCTTACTGTGTACAGGCTGTTCCTGTAAAACATCTATCTTACCCTTTATAATGTAGAGACCTTATAAACTAGGCTCTTACTGTGTACAGGCTGTTCCCGTAAAACATCTATCTTACCCTGTACAATGTGGAGACCGTATAAACTAGGCTTTAACTGTGTACAGGCTGTTCCTGTAAAACATCTATCTTACCCTTTATAATGTGGAGACCGTATAAACTAAGCTTTAACTGTGTACAGGTTGTTGCTGTAAAACATCTATCTTACCCTTTATAATGTGGAGACCATATAAACTAGGCTTTAACTGTGTACAGGCTGTTCCTGTAAAACATCTATCTTACCCTTTATAATGTGTTGACCGTATAAACTAAGCTTTAACTGTGTACAGGCTGTTCCTGTAAAATATATATCTGACCCTGTATAATGTGGAGACCGTATAAACTAGGCTTTAACTGTGTACGGGCTGTTCCTGTAAAACATCTATGTTACCCTTTATATTCTAGAAACCTTATAAACTAGGCTTTAACTGTGTACAGGCTGTTCCTGGAAAACATCTATCTGACCCTGTACAATGTGGAGACCGTACAAACTAGGCACTAACTGTGTACAGGCTGTTCCTGTAAAACACCTATCTTACCCTTTATAATGTGTTGACCGTATAAACTAAGCTTTAACTGTGTACAGGCTGTTACTGTAAAACATATATCTGACCCTGTATAATGTTGAGACCGTATAAACTAGGCTCTAACTGTGTACAGGCTGTTCCTGTAAAACATATATCTGACACTGTATAATGTGGAGACCGTATAAACTAGGCTCTAACTGTGTACAGGCTGTTCCTGTAAAAAATCTGTCTTACCCTTTATACTGTAGAGACCGTATAAACTAAGCTTTAACTGTGTACAGGCTGTTACTGTAAAACATATATCTGACCCTGTATAATGTGGAGACCGTATAAACTAGGCTCTAAATGTGTACAGGCTGTTCCTGTAAAACATCTATCTTACCCTGTATAATGTAGAGACCGTATAAACTAGGCACTAACTGTGTACAGGCTGTTCCTGTAAAACATCTATCTTACCCTTTATACTGTAGAAACCGTATAAACTAGGCTTTAACTGTGTACAGGCTGTTCCTGTAAAACATCTATCTGACCCTGTACAATGTGGAGACCGTATAAACTAGGCACTAACTGTGTACAGGCTGTTCCTGTAAAACATCTGTCTTACCCTTTATACTGTAGAGACCGTATAAACTAGGCTTTAACTGTGTACAGGCTGTTCCTGTAAAACATCTATGTTACCCTTTATAATGTAGAGACCTTATAAACTAGGCTCTAACTGTGTACAGGCTGTTCCTGTAAAACATCTATCTTACCCTATACAATGTGGAGACCGTATAAACTAGGCTCTAACTGTGTACAGGCTGTTCCTGTAAAACATCTATCTGACCCTGTACAATGTGGAGACCTTATCACTAGGCTTTAACCGTGTACAGGCTGTTCCTGTAAAACATCTATCTGACCCTGTATAATGTGGAGATCGTATAAACTAGGCTCTAACTGTGTACAGGCTGTTCCTGTAAAACATCTCTGACAACAGGACTCCAAAATAAATTCCTGCTATGTGGTTAGGTTTCCTAGCATATTACATCTGAGCAAAACTGTTAATTAAATCTACAGATTGTACCCCAAAACTAAACCTGGAGCCTAGAATGGGATAGGTGTTTTACTGGAATAGCCGAGCGTGGAATCTGTGTAACAAAATAAAGCCTGCCTACTCTGACTACTCTGACTACGGCTATATATCTGTTTCTGACTGTACTGGTTTCACTGTCAGTGGTTTGGTGATTAAATTCTGTTGTCTGTATTGGTAGTACTTTGGTTAGACTCTGTTTTTTCATTGTAATTTATAAAGCATATTGGAACTACAATAAAAAGCAGTTTAAACTACTATTGGTACATTATGTCTCCCACAGCTGTGGGTGGTGACAGCGCCTGCTGTGCTTGTGATGTTGATGACAACATTCGGTGTCTGTAGCTCAGTACCCCCAACACCGCCATCAGCCAGTGCTGACGAGGACTCGCAGCCATTCATTCAGGGATTCAAGAAGGTTAGGCATTCATTTGAATAGTTGTATGATTAAGTTGATCTGCATCCCAGACTTTATACTTTGCTGTGATTAGGAACCTGTGTTTTGTTCTATTTCCATAATAAATATAATTTGTTTCAGTCACTAGATAGGCTCCACCTAACAGACCAATTAAATCAGATGCATGCCAAATTTGTTTTCCATCATTTCTTTGCTCAATTGGTAGAGAACTGGGCTGGTAATTTGTAGTTCTGGGTTCGACTCATAGTGAGCTTGGTTACACATACAGCTATACATTATGTAGACATGATAAAATCTGTCTGAAATCTGTGAAATTCAACAGAAGTGTGAACATGCTTGATTCATCACTGAGATTTTTTTTAAAAATTTCATTTTGCAAATATTAAAATATTTTATGATATTTTTTGTGTACTAAAAGTGTCTTTTGACTTCAAGTTGCTTCCCTTTAATAGCTTCTGTGATTCCAGAAAATCCTGAAATATGGAAGTGTTAATATATTTTAGATTATAAGTAGTTTATGTATTAAAAACCGTGTTTCAGATGGTGAAAAACAAGAATTATTGGATACTGAACTTCCTGTTTGGAGCGGGTCTTGCCATTTTTACTGCTTTTACCTCGTTTCTCGACCAGATACTCTGTCCACGAGGATACTCTAACGTAAGTGTGGCAGTAGACAGACAATACATG